TAAACCTTGTTAACTCAGTCAAGTAGCCCACAAGAATTTGGGAAAAATGCAAGAATGCCTAGTGGGCGAATTCATCACTAATTCTTTTGTGCTACATCTCGTATTCTGAATCAACAAAGAATTACGCAAGAAGCATCATGCGCTCAGAGGTCAAAACGGCACATTCGTAGCTCTAAAAGTTGTAAGTAGGAGCTTTCGGAAAATTGAAGCGCTAATTTCCTATTTATACTAAGTGACATATAAATCCGAACACCCAGTTTAAATGGTTTTATTTTAATAAAATTTTGTATAAATACTTAATCAAGCCAAGTAAATGATAAAAATTTCAAAATGATTGCACTGCTTTAAAGCCCTTTGACCTTTAATAATGTGTGGATGCACCCTGATGTGCTACGCATTCTCCAACGAGCCTAGGCATGCTTCTGATCAGGTGGTCAATGTCCTCCTGTGGTATCTCATTCCAGGCAACCACCAACTCCTCTCGAAGTGCTTCTAGAGTCTGAGGAGGACGTTGCAAATTGAGCAATCTCCTACCATCATATCCCACACGTGCTCAATTGGGGATAAGTCGGGAGATCTTGGTGGCCATGGTAACAATGTGACATCATTATGTTGAAAGAAGTCTATTGTGACTCTTGCAACATGTGGTCGGGCATTATCTTGTTGGAAAGTTGGATCTGCCAGGGTGTCAAGATAGGGTAAAAGATGGGGTTCTAGAACTTCGTGGATATAACGCTGCGCGTTCATGTTACCTCTGATGAAGATTAAAGGTGACCTGGAACCATAAGCTATAGCACCCCAAACCATAACTCCAACAGTGTGATGAACATGTCTTTCAACAAAAAACTGTGGATTCCTCCTTTCACCACGTCGCCTTCTAACCCTGGCACGACCATCGTGCATGCCTAAACAAAATCGAGACTCGTCACTAAAGACAATACTGTTCCATTCCTGATCCCAGAGTGACCGTTGTCTGCACCACTCAAGGCGATTACATCGGTGTAAGGGTCATCTTTTACCCTATCTTGACACCCTGGCGGATCCAACTTTCCAACAAGATAATGCCCGACCACATGTTGCAAGAGTCACAATAGACTTCTTTCAACATAATGATGTCACATTGTTACCATGGCCACCAAGATCTCCCGACTTATCCCCAATTGAGCACGTGTGGGATATGATGGGTAGGAGATTGCTCAATTTGCAACGTCCTCCTCAGACTCTAGAAGCACTTCGAGAGGAGTTGGTGGTTGCCTGGAATGAGATACCACAGGAGGACATTGACCACCTGATCAGAATCATGCCTAGGCGCGTTGGAGAATGCGTAGCACATCAGGGTGCATCCACACATTATTAAAGGTCAAAGGGTTTTAAAGCAGTGAAATCATTTTGAAATTTTTATCATTTACTTATTATGCTTCATTAAGTACTTATACAAAATTTTATTAAAATAAAACCATTTAAACTGGGTGTTCGGATTTATATGTCACTTAGTATATATTGCAAAAAATACAAACAGATATCCTGTTATTTCTAGGTACAGCAATCATTTTGAAATTTTTATCATTTACTTATTATGCTTCATTAAGTACTTATACAAAATTTTATTAAAATAAAACCATTTAAACAGGGTGTTCGGATTTATATGTCACTTAGTATATATCCGTCAAAACTGTTGTAGATACTATGTGCAATCAATATCTGTTATCTATAAGATATGTTTAGGTTCATATTGATTTTGTATCACACCTCACCTCAACTTAGACGCAAACGACAGAAACGGATATGAAACATCTGTAACTTATCCTGTGGTTTTCTTGTCGATTATCTCCCATGCTAGTCAAGCCAATAGAATCACATGTATTGACAGAATCTGTTTTACAGTAAACGTTTCAATCGCAAAGGTGGTGACAATGACAATATATTTTACTCATCTGTCTTCCAGGAGACAGTCCGTTTGTTTTTTCGTTCCATTGTCTCATTTCAATACAATTTCAAGATGGAACAACGCAAAACCAGCATAGCCCAGGACCGCCTGGGGTAGGCATCCCCGCTCCCAGACACGTGACCCTCGTCTATCGTCCCGAAAACGCCAAAAGCCAAACAAAAAAAAAACGCAAAAACCCACCCAGAACTGTTGTCGTAGCGCACCGGTTAATTGTTCATTGACTGAAATGTTGCAATTCTTTTGTTTTTTTGGATCTGGTTTGTTGTTCGATCTTAAACTCGCAGATGTTCCGCTTGGCCAAACTGTTATTCCTTATATTGCTTTCTCACAGGACAAACAACATGCTTTCCTCCATATGTCGAAGTATTTCTCACGTTTCAGATCCAAAACAATGCATTTATTAATTGTACTTGAAAAAAAAAACAGCGTTGGTCGTAACCTACTATAAACAGAAATTGAAATTTACACTCGTATATGATTCATAGTTATTGTCGAAAATAACCAGTTAAGTGTTAAGTGGAGGACTCGTCTGTGGGCAAATTGACAGATTATGCAAAGTGTACTCTTTCTTCTTCATAGTGAAAATGACAACACGGGTCAATCAAACCAGATATCCATTATTTCTTCAACTAATGAGAACAACAGCACTACAGTGGTTGCTCCTATTTCCAGAGTTAACTATGTTGTCTTGCCATACATCAAAGAACTAATACCAAAATTGATCAGGCTGTATAATGTATAATCCCTTTAATTGTCGATTTGCTTGTAAATCAGTTCTCACAGTCAACAGTTTGTTGTCCAAAATGAAAGATAAGGTTCAGTTGCTTGATTCAACCAATACTGTCTATCGTATTAATTGCAACAACTGCAATTTAGTTTATATAGGCCAAACTTCTAGGTCGCTGAAAGGCAGGATAACGTTACACAAAAGTGATGCCAGATTACATCCAGAAAGATGTGCTTTGGCGTCGCAAATATTAACAACACAGGTCACTCTATGAATTATGGCAGTATTGAGGTTCTTGATAAAGAAAAAAGACTCTCAAAACGTCTATTTTTATAAATGTCCCACATTTTCATGACCGATCATTGCATGAATAAAAAGGCTGAAGCGTTGAATTGCGAAAAGCTAGAACGGCTACATGTCCAAAGAAGGTTGTATCAATATCACACATTCTTGCACTCATATGAACCACACACTCTTTTCCAAAACAAGTTATTCCAGCATTTTAGTAATTTTTGGGTGGAGATTTACCGAGCGTCCCTCGTATACTTCATACCCAAAGTTGGACAGGGAGGTGTACATTTCCACGTTCCGTCGCGTCAATCACTTGTCTTCTGTTGACGCTTTACCGTTCCGTGCCCTTCCCCCTCTAAACGTGTAGCGGTAGTAGAAGGTTAGGGACTGCATTCCGATTGTTTCAACAAAATGTCTCCCCACGTGTAATATTTTTAGCTTGTTCGGGTTTATTGATATAACTTTTATTTTTTCTTAACTTTTAACGAAGGTATCTGTCGTTTTTAACAAGCCCAATGTCCCCGTCCTTTTGTTTTTATACTGAACACAAGTTCGATCTTCTCTACGTTCTTTCTGAAACACCTTGTGGCTGCAACCTACCGACGAGTAAGTTGTCTGACATTTTAAATCTTCTTTGCTAGCATCACAATTGTGTTTTCAGAATCCTGATGATGGCTCCATAGAGAATGCCGAAAGCTTGATTTTATCGTCAAAAGAGTAAACTTTAGCCTAACAATTTTGTCAATTTCCCAACTAAAAAGTAATTGTATTTTGTACCCAACTAGTCGTTGGCTTTGGCAATGACTACTTCTCATATATATATATATAAAAAGTAGGCAAATAATGGGTAAAATCCGCACAAAGAAGGAAAGTGGATTCGAGCAGGAAATAGGAAAGGTAACCCGAGCAATACGAATTTCTGCTTGTTGGCTTCATCAGGCCCGAAATGAATGCACTTATGCAACCACAAAGGTAGATACACATGCCCATACATCCAGATACGAGTGTAACCTGAGGAAACGAAGATGGAGAGAGAAAAAATGACACACGAAGTCCCCAACAAGAGCCAACCTAGACATTGTAGTATAAAATGGTGAGAAAATATTTTTGACTCTGTAATACTTCTCAAAAATATTTTCATTCATACTAATCAAACGTATAAAGTATGATATTTTGCATTAACATAGGAAACAGGTTTACTACCAGATAGATAATGTCCATATAAGAGTCGTTCATTGAAACCGATCTATTGCAAGGGTATTAACAAACGAAATCGTACCTTTCACTAAATCTGTAGACGATGACCTCATCATAATACATGATAAAGAAAGAATACAACCTACCAGCGTATTTTATGATATTGAGTAATGTTTAGAAGTTGAGATATTAGCAAAATGTCCATGTATTCGCTGAATAAAAAATAATATGAAAGGATGTTCGAGTACTAAAGTGATATAATGAAGGTGTCATCAAGTTCAAAGCCTCCGAGACAAAAGTCAGTTACGAATATATATGTGCAACTCAGTGTAAGCGTATGAAATATCTCAAATACATTTTGCTTGCGAGTTCAACCCTCAGACACACGAAATCTTTTAAGCAGGTTCATAAGTCTGGTTAATTACGACCGCCCTTGAGCCTGTTTATATGTTTAATGTTATACATTCCGTTCCTCCTCTGGCCACTTGTTTCCAGGGTAAGTTTTCGGTGGCGTCATATACACGCAAACGGATATAACTGTCGCTTCTAAGATCAAGTAGTGCGCGTTGTGAACCAATTACAGTGTTGCTGTGCTATTGGTCAAATATGGTAGGTACCCATTAAGTCTTTTTCCCAAAAATAGGTCTTGGACAATCAGGTCCCATATCGAATTGTTTACGTAGTGCCCTTGTAGTAAAATAAAATGCTACAGAGTGGCAGTTAACAATCTTCATTATTAAAAACTCTATCTGCGCAAAAATCCAATATGGTGTCGATAAGAAAAAATGGCAATGGTTATGTGCAATTTATTTTGTTAAAAGAGGTAACGAAACTCACCCTAAAATTGTGCTTTTTAGGAAGGGACTCCAAATATACCTGCCAGTCGAAGCACCTCAAGAACAAACGAAGCCAGCGTTTTTCAATGCCATTTGCGATTCTAGCGTTGATCGTGTTGCATTTACCATCTGTCCTCTCGCATAATTTCACCAATGAATCCACAATTTTTCCGTGATTCTTTATGTGACGGTGCAGCACCTAGAAATAAGGAATAGGAGATTGTAATCGAAGGCATTCTATTGCTAAATCGTGCATTCCAAATGCATACATTTAATCGTTACGTAAGTGATGATCTATCATGATACTTTGAGGGTTGGGTCATCATGCGACCAATAAGAATATTACAGTAAATAAAATACGAGATCTGAAAATTAAGTGAAGAGTTTAATTTTTTTATTCTAATATAATTACAATTTTGCTGGAACTTCGATACTGTAATAGCATTCAGCCGGTCGGTTACAGACGTTTGAACTTTTTCGAATGTCACAAAATGAGTTTCCGTGAGGCGATTTGTCAACTTCGAGAAGATAAAAAAGTGACAAGGACTATTGCCATTGCTGTGTGACAAGGAGCATTATCTAGTTACGCCGTAATTTCACATATTTTTTTGTAGTCTCTCACCTCACCTTCGAAATAAAATTCTTAATAGATTGCGTAAGTGATAAAATTCCGAAAACAATTTTGACGTTCCGACTTAAATAGGTTTACGCCTCTGCGTTAAAACTCGTTTTCTGTATCTGACCGATAATTATACAGCACGTACCGGCGCATGTGTCTCTAATAACACTGGACAACAAATTTTTGTTTTTTAATTGTATCTTGTGGGAAAAGTGCACTTTGTTAATTTTTTGGCGGTGAATCCAAAAATGACAATGAAATAAAAAATTAGTTGCGGTTTAGAAAAAAAACTTTTTATTTTTAAGGATATATTAAAAAAAGTAACAAGATTCATATACAGGGTGGTCCATAAGTCCTTTGAAATTTCAAATTTGAATAAAATTTAACGGGTGAGCGTGAGCGGCGCGGGCGAGGTGGGGGCAGTATCTTCAGTGTCTGGGAAGTCAGTCGTCATGGAGTGTTTCACTGGAGCGGATCGTGCTTTTTGTGTGCGCGCGTTTTATCAAAATAATGATTCGGCAACCATTGCGCGGCGTAAATATCGAGAATACCACAATTTACACAATTTTACAAAGTGTCCAACAGCTCAAACGATTAAGAACTGGGTTGCTAAGTTCGAAGAGACTGGTTCGACGTTAGATAAACAGCGGTGGGGTCGACCAAGGACAACTCGTATTGAAGAAAACATCAACATTGTGGCACAGTCTGTTCGTCAAAATCCTACCCAGTCTACTCGTAAGCGTTCCAGTGCACTAAACGTACCCAGAACATCTTTACAGCGGATTTTAAGGAAAGATTCACGTCTGCACGCTCACAAAATTCAGTTAGTGCAGGAATTAAAAGATAATGACGCTATTCAGAGACTAAACTTTGCGAATGAAATGTTGAATCGATTTTCTTCGCTCAATAATGTGTTGTTCTCGGACGAGGCTCACTTCCATTTAAACGGGCATGTAAATAAACAAAATTGCCGTTATTGGAGCCCCGAAAATCCAAGGCGTAAGCATCAGAAGCCCTTACACAGCCCTAAAGTTACAGTTTGGGCTGCTATGTCAGCGCATGGCATCGTAGGCCCTTATTTTTTTGAGGACGACAGAGGTCGCGCATTAACTGTTACTTCGGAGCGGTATGTAGCAATGATAGAAGAGTTTTTGACACCAGCGTTGCAGAATTTTCCAGGCTATAATACGCAGACCTGGTTTCAACAGGACGGAGCAACTGCCCACACCTCCAACACTTCTATGCCCGTCGACTGTCAACTTTTTCCCAGCAAAGTAATTTCTCGAAGAGGAGACATTTCCTGGCCACCACGTAGTCCAGATTTGACCCCAATGGACTTCTTTTTATGGGGCTACCTCAAGAGTAAAGTGTACGACACCACTCCGCGATCAGTTGATGTCCTGAAAGAAAATATCCGAAGAGAAATGGCAAGCATTACAGTGTTGACTTGCCGCGCAGTCATCGACAATTTTAGACGTCGTTTATATGAGTGCCGTGATCGTAATGGATTGCATTTAGACGATGTGATTTTTAAAACATAATTCCCATTCAATAAAGATGATAACAAAATATAATAATTCTTCATAATGTAACTAGTTTGGTTTTATTCCTGTTTTTCCAGCTCAAAGGACTTATGGGCCACCCTGTACTTATAAGAATCACTATATGCGCTGTCTTTTTGCTGTTCTTTTATGGATCGTTTCTGGAGCATCTCTACCAAGAGTTCAACAGTAGTCTGCAAGCATGGAAGGATTCCACTTTCCCTGGTACCTTTTTTCCATTGTTGAAATATCCTGATGAAAACGTTCGCCGTGCTCATCACTTACGGCTCCGCAATTGTCAGGAAAAAAGTCCAAGTGTGAGTGTAGGAAATGTATCTTAAGAGACATATTACAGCCCATCTTTTGATACGATGACAGCATATTTTTGATAAGGGTTTTATAGTTGTCAGCTTTTCTGTTTCCCAAGAAATTAGTGACCACCAGACGGAAATCATTCCAAGCAGTTTTTTCAATACCTGTTAAAGTGTTTTCAAACTGTGTATCTTTCAAAATATTTCGAATCTGTGGCCCAACAAAAATACCTTCTTTAACCTTTGCCTCACTTAGTCTTGGAAATTTCTGACGCAGGTATTGAAAAGCTGACCCATCTCTATCTAATGCCTTGACAAAGTTTTTCATTAGGCCCAACTTGATATGCAGTGGTGGTAATAATTTTTTTTTCGAATCTACTAATGGCATATGCTGTACATTTTTTTGACCTGGCTCTAGGAATTGACGTACAGGCCAGTTTTGACTGGTGTAATGAAGTGCCTTTGCCCGACTGTCCCATTCTCACAAAAAACAGCAAAACTTTGTGTAGCCTAGCTGCAGCCCAAGTAAAAGTGCAACAACTTTCAAATCGCCACAAATATACCATTGCTGCTCATCGTATTTTATGCATGTCAATAGGTACTTCATATTGTCATATGATTCTTTCATGTGGACTGCATACCCTACAGGAAGAGATGGTAAAATATTTCCAATATGCAATAACACTGCCTTTAAACTCAATGTTGAACTGTCTATAAACAATCTCCATTCTTCTGGGTTATAGTTTATATTTAAAGCCGCCAGTAAGCCGTTAATGTTACTGCAGAAAACCAAGTTATTCTCCATATTGAAAATGGTTCTAAGTCTTTGTGGCGTTTACGAAAAACACATACCGAAACATCGTCTTCTAACAAGTTCCGCTGCTGCAGTCTTGATCCAAGTAACTCTGCCTTACATTTTGGAAGTTCTAAATCTCTTACAAGATCATTTAATTCTGACTGTGTTATTTTGTGCGGTTGGTGGCATGACGTGCTCGGTATAAAATCAGGATCTCTTGACGTTGATGGCATATCTTCTTCCTGACGAATCACTCGATCGCCATGATCTGATTCGTTTTCTGATTCCAAAGTGTAGGATTCTGGGGGTTTTGGAATAGGATTTTCGTCACTGTGAGGCACAGGTCTCATCGCAGATGGTATGTTTGGGTAGTTAATAACCGATTTTTTTTTTCTTGGACATACCTGTGGCTTGTCCAGCACAAGGTACCATGCAAAAGTAACAATCATTAATATGATTTGTAGGCTCTCTCCAAACCATTGGGACAGCAAAGCGCATAGACCGTTTTTTGCCATTTAACCAGCTCCTCAGACTTGAAGCACATGTATTACAGCAGATGTGGGGTGCCCACTGTTTGTATTGATCACCTAGTTTACAACCGAAATAAAGCTGATATGCCTTTGTTATTAGTGGAGTAATAGACCGTCTCTGAGACGCAAAAGTCACATCACCACACACGTAACAAAACTGATCTGGATTGTTTACACACTTTCGAGACATCTTGCATGAACGCTGTCAGCCAACTGAGGAAAAAATGGCTAATATTAAACAATATAATGTACACGTATGTATAACGTAACACAATCATGCCGATTACATCATCTTTCCTTGCCGAATATAAAAATGCAGCACGTGCATTCTTGTGAATTACAGTATATTAACACTGTCACAGCAGGAACACATATAATTACCGTATCTCTAAAACTTGCACTAATATTGAAAAAATAAGTTTCATTCCGGTTTTAGCACATTAAAAATAGTAATATTTTGTTGATTTTATTTAGGATATTTTTTGGCTGTTGATCAGTGTAATATGTAAACATAACCTATAAATATTGTTGTGTTGTTATGAATGTCGACTTAAACAAAGTGTTTATTTTTCTTGTCATTTACTTTTTGTTTGTAGGTACTTATAATATTATATAGAGAATAAAACATTTTTTATTTATGAAATAGTATTTTTGATACATTGATACCCATGTCCAGATTTAAATTGTTGGCGTAACTACACATTAAAAGAAACAAGAGTCGTAGTGGCGTAAATGTACAAAAACATTTTTTTTAACTCATTTTACTTTTACAAAACTAAACCATGCCAAAACAAAGTTCTACATAATTTTAGTCTAACAAAAAAACAGCAACGTGCAGACAAAAAAATCAGTATGTCATTTTCAATTTTATTTATTGCTGACTTTCGTTTTCAACTTTCCTGTAAAATTTGCAAAATGTTAGTTACGCCGGTACGTGCTGATACCGACGACATGTTCTCCTGTCTATACAATATAGTTGACCTTTCAATGTTTCCACTAATTTTTTAGTTCCTTCATATAGATAAATGAAATCTAAAGTGATATAATATAAGCTTGATTGATTGAATGGATGTACTGCCGACGTTGTAGACATGCATCTTCGATTATACGAATCTTGCTTAGCAGACACCAAGCATTGCGGCGGTTTAAATGAGATGAAATCGATGTTACTGCCAATTTCCGACTGTGTACAGCAGGAGTCCCTATTAGGTTTGATAATGCTTAACATTTACATTAATGATATAACGTAACTGACAGCAGTTCTACCTGCATTTCTCGAAGATTGACAGTCTGTATTTCTACAGTGCATATCCTCTATACCCATCGCTTTGGTGTGGATAAGCGTGTGACAATCAATGGTTCTAATCTTTGGAGAACGGTTAAACACATAAAGCTTACCACCGATAAGGCAAAAATTCGTTGCATCCCTAATGAAACGTTGAATCTTGGTTGGAATGGAAAACTTCATGTTACTTTCAATGGCTTTAAGTCGTAGCAGTATGTAACTAAATCAGGAGTAGGCTCAGGGTTCAAACATTGGTCCTTTATTGTTTACCTTATTTAATGATGATATTGCGCAATATTTAAGTTGTAATAAACTCCTCCTTGCGGATGATTTAAGATTATTCAGCATTATTGCACTAGTGG